TGCGTGTGTGCATAATTTACATATATATATATATTTAGGAAGGTCAGGATGGGCTGTTGGTTAGGCATGGACCCCACGTCCAAGAGGTCATGAATTAGATCCCTGCCGGCAGAAGACTCCCCGCGTAGTAAATGGTGACTGGTGCACGTTAAATCCATCCGGTCAGAAAGTCCTAACTTCCCATAACAAATCAATACTTCTGGAGGTACAGAATTGAAGATTGGTCGTTCTTCAGTTCAGGTCAAAATTACGATCTGTAGAGGAATGAACGTATGTATAAATGTGTGCGCCCATTTAAACGGGTTGTGACGTGTTTGTGCGACTGAAGTCGCACCCTTGGACATGAATGGCTCCAATGAAAAACAAGAAACGCACTCTTTGCCTTAAATTATCTTGATTTCACCAAGCAGGCTTGCTGGTATTTGGCAAGTCGCATTAGAAACAACAAAAACATGTTTCTCAAACACTTCTAAACCATGCATAAAACATTAAAGCATAAAATTTCGATAGTGTAACGAAATTCTTCTCTCAGAAAAAAAAGCGAATGATTGCTATCCTCAGTTTTAGAACTTATAGTGGGACAGTAATTAGACTAAGCGAAGTAAAAGTTGGCCATAATAATTGGTAGAGTTAAAAGCTCTACTTTGAAGAATCATTAACTGCGATCTTTTAAACTTTTTTCAAGAAAAAATTTCCTCGGAAATCGCGGAAGAGAAAAGGCTAAATAGTAATCAATTCTCCAGTACTTAGCAGCTCTATAGCATCCCTTTTAAAGTTCATTTTTATAACTTTACTTTTTCCGATATATATGGAAAATACAAATTTGGCAAAGTTAACCCGTTTTGTCCCGAATTTATATATTGAAATGATACAAAAAGTGGTATAATATATTATAGAAATTAATTGGTTTTTCTACTGTTAGAGCATTCAAAAAGTCTTTGATAGATCAAAAAGTACTTGCTCCTTATAACTCTAGATCTAATCAGAAATAACTAAACCATCATGGTATCTGAAAATCCTTTAATTCACCAAGATAAATGAAAATACTGAAAAAAGTTTCCCATCACAATGAATGTCTATGAAAAAAGGAACTGTCCTAAATATATGACGCTGGGCGTTAACCGGTTAACAACCAAAGTTGAGTTGAGGCCTAGCTGTAAGTCGATGATTATACAGGCTCCTAAAGGAAAAATTACGCAATTAACAAAGTTCAGAAGGTCATGAATTATCAGACGCGTGCCCAAGGGGGTGTAAAGGGACTTATGAACCCCCAAAATTTTTCTCAAAATTAAAAATTTCTTTTATTATACTATTACTCATTATCTAATCTTGAACTTTAAAAAAAAAGAACTTTTTTCATTATTAAATGTTTTCTTCATAAATTGTGCGAGAAAAAATGGTTTCATTTAAACCAATTCCTGAAAAAAAAGTATAGAAAATTATATATTCTGTCTCTAAGAATTGGGAAATTTTTAGAAGAAAATAGGGTGTGAGCCATTATATTCACCATTGCTAAAGGAAACATATTCTTCAGATTTGTCAAATTTTAGTTGCAGCATTTTGACTGCAGAAAATCAGCTATGGAAAAGAAATTGGCTCAGAAGACAAGACTAACTGCAATAGAAGTATTATAAGAGTGCAACGTAAATATTTTCTTGAATATCTATAAACTTTGAAAAATTTCGGTAACCTTGCCTATTACATTCTGTTCTCCTGAAAGGTTATTTTCAACTTTGGAATATTTATAAGTGAGGAAGTGTTAAATATTTTACAAAGACAGAAATGTTAACTAAATATAATTTTGAAGAAATTAATGTGTTTGTGTCCAGCACCTTTTAATTATTTTTTTAATCAATGGTTTTGGATTTTAATGATTTGGGATATCCCTGATTATGGTAAGCAGAAACTTTGGTTTACATGATATTATTTTTTTAAAAAATCATCTTCGCTTGTGTATTTTTTTGAGAAATAATTATCCATCTTGTGCTTTTTAAATAGAAGAAATAAGATCGATATAATGTATCGTTTAGTTCTTACATTCAAATGGTAAGTCTAAAGTAAAGAAATCGCTTCCTTTCCTGCAATGACAATATGCACTCCCCCTCAAATCAATTTTTTTATACACACTGTGAAATAGGTCCTGTGCATGTGTTTTACTACTGAATAGCTGCCAAATTAAACACACTTTTTTTCCTTATTGTAGCAAACATTTAATCCCAAAATTCATTTCTATATATAAATAATTTTATAACTATGAGAAATAATTTTATAACTATGAAATGTAAATAATTCAAACTTACGCTCTAAAAAACTGAATATCGTGGTGTTACTATTACAAGCACCGATGGAATCAAATCATGATAAGTTGATGCTCTATTACGACAAAAAAAATTAGCATCTATATTAATGGCTACACTATTGAAAAGGTTATAGATAATTTTGCTTTTGCAGAGGATATTTTTTAAGATTTGATCTTAAGATACAAAATGCTAAAAAAATGCCAAAGATACTGATAAAAATGTATATTCTATTTTTGTGCTTATTATTCTATTAGTATGACTTCTCAAACAAGAATTTATTCATTGGACGTTTTTAAATAAACAGATCCCTCTGAATTGCTATGGAAAATTTGTAGCGAAGTAAATTTATTATATTTGGTTTATATGAATGTTGTCAATAAAAGAATAGAATATTTCAATGAGATAAATATGAAGTAAAAAAATAATCAGGATAGCGGATAATTCGAATTTTTCCACTTTGGGGATTTTATGAAAACAGATGCACTCTTTCGTATGGGTAAAAAGTCATAGTCGTTAACGAAATCGTTTTTTTTTTTTAAAACTATTGGTTCAATTCAATCAATATCAATATCAGCACGCAAGCTATTAGATTTCCATCTGTTTCAAACTCCTTTGCGTGTGTGCATAATTTACGTGCCATGTAGAAATATCTGCTCGTAGAAACTTTCCAAATATATCACAGGGTTAAAAGGAGTGAGTATTAGTTGTATATTCACCAGCGCAGAGAAGATATCATCATTTGACCTCCTTATTTTTAATTTTAAGTTCTCATTGCAATTTTATCACAATGTATAATTTAATGCAGTAAATACTCAATGAAATGTATATGATTAAAAGATATTGATTAATTCTGTAAAAAAAAAACCTTTGATATTTACGTTCCTGATAGTGATTTATAATGGTATCGCCTTCAGACTCAAAGGTAAGCATTATAATAATATGCGTCCCTGATGATATGTAGACTAACCTGAATAAGCGCTCCTACTTCCAGGGGTAAATTAAAAATTTTCAAGCAGTAGTTAAACAAAAGTGTAGTAGTTTAAAATTTTCTTGCTTTAGCTACTAAGCTTTTATAATCAATACCTCTGGGGGTTGATCGTTCTCTGGTTCAGGCCAAAATTATGATCTGTGGATAAATGTATGAATGGGTGGCAGTTTGGTCTTGCAGGTGGACCAAATACCAACACAGACGGCATTCAAAGATAGACAGCTCCCTCCGTTTCTAATAAGTTCCTACATTTAGGTCGAAAATTTTGTTTCTAAAATGGAACGTGGCTTAAGAGGGATTTTTTAACCCGTTTTATCCCGACTTTTTAAATTGAAGTGGTGCAAAAAGTGGCTTTATGAGAAAAGTGGTATAATATTGTTATTCAATTAAATGGCTAATATCAACTATTTGTTACCGTTTCAGTTCGGAATGTCCCATCACCTTATAGTTATACATCTAGTGATAGAAACTTAAATCACTAATAAATTATGGTGGAAGGGAAACTTTTAATTCTCCTAGATGAAAGACAAAATTCAAACAATTGTCCAACCTCAATATATGTTTTTGAAAAAGGAAACTGTCCTATAAATATGGCGCTGGACACTAACTGGTTAAACTAATTTGGTACTGATTTAAGAAAAAAAAAAGGTGGGAGTGGTTGGTAAATAAATGTTGTTGATTGATAGCATAGCACTATCAATAATGAATACGAAAGTACGCAATTGCAGCAACTAATTTGGGACAGAGGGAGTATTATTTTGAATGGGGTCATGTTGCGGATTCATTAGTTTACAAAACAATACGCTGAAAGTAAGAGGCCCCACCTTAAAAAAATGCAGCTATGATTTCGATAAAATTATTTAAACTATTTATGTGCAATAATGAATAAAATCTAAAAAAAAAACGTTTTTTTTTTTAAAAAAAAAAAGAGAAATATTACTATACAATTCGTTGTCACTTTAAAAAGAACAAGAAAATCTCCCTTGAAATAGCCGCTACATAATCTCTTAAAATTCAAAACTTTCTTGACAAAAATTTTTTTTTAAATATACAGGGTGTTTATAAAGCCCCGGACCCATTTTGATGTTTAATAACTCATAAAATAATAAAGATAGATTAAAATTAATGACATAGACTCAATGACATAGACTAATGACATAGACTCAAAAAGTTTCATGACCCTTGTCAATGAACTTCCACGTGTTCCCCCTTCGTCGCACGGAGAATATCAAGTCGATAGTCAATTTCACGCCAGGTAGCACCAAGCGTTATGAGTTATTTATTAAACATCAAAATGGGTGTTTCTGACATTGTTAATCGCCATAATGTGCGCATATGGGGATCTGAAAACCCCCATGAATACCGTGAAAGACAAAGGGATTCCCCAAAGGTAAATGTGTGGTGTGGACTAATGCACGACCGAGTCATTGGGTCTTTCTTTTTTTACAGAAAAGACGGTCTCATCAGTCGTATACTTAGACATGTTGGAAAACTTCGTATTTCCACAACTAGAAGAGCTTCAGCTACATGTCTTTTGCAACAAGATGGTACACCACCTCATTGGGGTATCATCGTTCGTAGTTCTTTGAATGACCATTTTACAGGAAGATGGATTGGGCGAGGAGGTCCAATTCCTTGGCCACCCAGATCACCTGATATAACGCCGCTGGACTTTTTTCTTTGGGGATTTATAAAGGA